TTTAGAAGGACAGACATACTTGGTTTAAAATAAAGAATGACATTTTTAAAATTGTTTTGCCTTTTAAACAGGTAAATTCTTTGCTTTTGCTCACATTTTGCAAAATGTATCATAGTTGATACCACTTACCTCAAATTGTGGCTAATAATTGTTGGTTAGGAGGTATACAAAGTACTCTGCAACAAAGTTAATTTTTCCTGGAATCGTCTAGAACAGTAAACTTGCAGTTCTTTGAGATATACTCATATTTGTACGTGACGCGTTTGAGCGCCTTCGCTAGTACAAAATTAGTACAGTGCACAAAAAGGAAGAAAATATCTATGCATGACGGGTAGGTATTTCATAGCAAATTGCCATAGAGATGAACGGAGCAATGGATATAATTGTAACCTGCACAGGGGCTGTATGTGAGCATAAGCAACACGACCTATACTGGTACGGTTCAAGTGGCAAATCCCTTCATGTGAATGCAGTTATACAATATATGAGGATTAGTCCTATATGGGAAGCAAAATAGGTTAAGACAGTGTAACTACAGACATCTGTGGGCTGTGGTTTTATCACATAATACAATATTTGCCCTTACTGGAAAATTATACTCCCATAATTCTTGTAATACACACAGGTACTCTAGCATTCAATTTAATTTCTACAGAAGCCCAAGGAAAAACTGGGCTTTGAAGCAGACAAGGAAATACCAAGCAGGCCTGTTGCTGGAAACAGGTGGGTAGACAAAAGGGATGAATGCCTCTGACCTGTGGAGTCTGGTAACTTCTTGCTGCGATCTTGCTACAGTGCTGGATTTTTCTGATCTTAATTTCTTGCTGCGTATGGCTGGTTTGTTCTTCTGGTAGGACTACACTGTGAACTTCTCAGAGGAGAAAAGGGTGGAGGGGGACTGGAGGCAGCGAAAACACAGGTGGCTTGAGTTATATTTGGCTTTTTTGGATAGATTAATCGCTTTGCTGATTTACACCATCCTTATTCTGTACTTTTTAATTCTTTCTTAAGGAAGCATCTTAATGAACTATGTCAGAAAACATTCTATTGACATAAGCCTTCTTGTGAGGTAAAGAAGATCTTTTTTTTACAGTTTATAAAATTGAGTGACTGCAGTTCTTCCATGACTTTGATGAAGCTAGTTAAACTCCCGCAACTGTTCTAGACTTGGAAACAGAGGTTCTTCTTAGCTTCATTTAACTTCAGGATTTACAATTATAAATTCTTGTAACACTTTTTTTCAAGTAAATACACCAGCTGAAGTTGATATTAATGATTTTATTGATAAGAGTCATACCATTGTGTGAGTATTACTCTCTGCTATGTGTTATTTTTAGCTTAAGACAACAGTGTTACATAACAAGGGAACATGATTAAAAACTAAGTATCGACTATTAATGAAAAGCGGCTGAAAAGCTACTTTGAAGTATAGACTTTGCTGGTTGCTGGCTCCTAAGGACCAGGAGATAATAGTTCTTTCACTGGTGCTGAACTTGTCTTAAGCAAAAGTAGCCACCAAAGCCATGAGAATAAAATTCTTTTATTAGCAGCCTGAGATTCTGTATTATTATGCTGTATCGAAGTGTGTAAAGTGTGCAAATGCCAGCATGATTCCAGGCAAGAAAGAGAGGCCAGATTTGGCTCATATACCTTTTAATTTTGTATGGAAGACCTTTTGAGACCATCTTCAGACCAGGTAAAATTACTGGTAGTATAAAGAGTGGATGGAAGGAGATTATGAGTGGAATAAATAGATAGAATAGAAGTGTAAGATATGAATATGTTGACTTTTTCATTTAGTATTGCTAAGTAATTACTAAATATAAATGATTCATATTGTGGTTTTATTACTGTGGTTGCAAATTTTGTAAAGAATATTCTATGCAAAACAGAGCCTGAAGAACCAAGTGCTGAAGCCTGAAAACATCTTGTGCATTCATTAACAAAAATCAGATGTTAAGTAGAACTGTGTGTTTCAAAGTTTTAATGTTTATTGTTTTCCTTCTCCCTTTTAAGGATCGATCGTACCATTTGCTTTAGAGGTAGGGACTTGAGGTCCCTTTGCTTTAGCAAAGGAAACTAGTAGCAGAGCAGGGAATTCTTCCCAGCTCTTCATCTCCCAGATTACCAATATAACTCATAGACTATCCTTCCCACAGTTTACATTTTTTTGCTCCTTGTTCATGGATTTTTTTTGGTTTTGTTTCATTAAAAGCAGACATTTGATTGGCCAAGGTTTTTAGTTCTTTATCACTAGCCGATTACAATCAAACAGAAGATGCCCA